TCCTGCTGCTGCTGCTGCTACTACTACTGCTATTATGACAGTACTATAGTGCTGCTACTACTACTCCTGCTGCTACTCCTACTCCTACTCCTACTCCTACTCCTACTCCTACTCCTACTCCTCCTACTGCTACTGCTCCTGCTCCTGCTCCTGCTCCTGTTGCTGCTGCTGCTGCTACTACTCCCCTACTCCTACTCCTACTCACTCCTACTCACTCCTACTCCTAATCCTCCTCTTCCTGCTGCCGCTACTGCAACCAGTAGTACTAGCCACTATGCCTACAATTGATTACGATGGCGACGATGCTGCCGTGCCGTGCACCATTCACCGGACAAGTTGCGCTGATTTCGTCCTGATCACAAGTGCACACCCCGCAGGACAGCCGACGGCTTTCATCTTCGGGGGCCTGCCCAAGCCCCAAGACCCGCCAACGATGCAGATGAAGGGACAAGATCCAGAATCTCGTCTGGTTAAGGCTAAGTCAAAGTCGATTCAGCATGTAAGAAGTTGGAGCTACAAGGAATTAGTGAAAAAACATCTATCCGATAGAGTTGTTGTCAGTTTCCAGTTCCTTGATGTCTCGGCTCAGAGGAGGCTTTCGCATTGTCAACATTCGATTTACACACTACGGGGTGTTGTTAGTTCAACAGGCACTCGTAGCCTTGGCAGGCGTCGAGCCAAGTTGGGCAAGCCGCCGGTCGAGTAGGACGGCGCTTGCCGCCAAGCTCTAGTGCAGTATATGAACTTTGGCTCCTAAAAGACAGTAGCCGTAGACACCCAGACTGACCTATTCTCGCAGCCGAGGAAGGGAAGATGAAGGGGCAGGCCATCTTCGGCTTCGTTTGTTTGCCTGCGCTGTTGTTGCGTACTTTAGGATGCTTGGCAGCTGCCTGCAATCAGCGGAGAAGCAGTTTGAAAATCAACTTAGCCGCAATCCTCTTCTCTGCTGGAGCCTTCAGCAAAGCCATTTCAGAAGCCGTGGCCAGGTTCACTGGCAGGACCAAGAGGGTTGCTACGCAGGACGGGAGTCTTCCGCAAATTTAACGAAGAGGAGGAGCAGGAAGAGGATGCTGATACTGATGCCAGTACTGTGGTTGATATGGGTGATGTGTGTCCACACCGGTGCAAAAAGCGACGGCTTCACTGCAAGACCCTATGTATAAGTTTAGCAGTGGCACTCGCGTCCGTGCATGACATTACCGGAGCAGTACTAGTAGTCGTCGTCGTCATCGGGTTGTTGGTGGCCCTCGTACTTACTCACAGCTGTAGCTGCAGCAGGAACAGTGGCATTGGCAGTAAGAGTAGGACCTTTGAGTGGGAGATGTTGTTTCTGCTGTTGTATAGGATACACGAAAAAATCATTGCCGTTGCTTCTGTTTCTGCTACTGTTTCTCCTCTTCCTGTCCTGCTACTCCTCCTACGTTTACTGCTGCTGCTGCTGCTGCTACTACTACCACCACCACTACCACTACCACTACCACTACCACTACCACCATTACGGCACTACTACTACGACCGCGACTACTACTGCTACTATTGCTACAACTAAGACTACTTACTGCTACCACCCCGACGACTACAAATACGCCTACCACTATCGCTGCCACTACTGCTTCTACTACGACGAGGACGACGACGACCGCCACTGCCACTTCCACTACCACTACCATGACGACGAGAACGACGACGCCGACGACTACTACTGCTACTTCGACTGCGACAGCGGCTACGGGTACGACGACGGCGACAACTGCTATTACTGCTACAACGAGCTTTTTTTCAGCGACCCAGTGTGTAAAAGTAGTTGCAAAGTTTGCAGAAGGCTTGACGATGCTTCTTGCTGTTGTATGCCGCAGCCCAGAGACAGACGCATGGTTGTCTGTTCTTCACAAAGGAACGTATTGGGGTGCGTGAACTTCGCGACACTGGCTCTCTTTGTTTCGGGCGGGTGCATCAGAATCTGTTTCTCAGAATGATCCAGGGTCCGAGGCGTGGTAGTGCTGTCTGGCAGGAGCTAGGCCACAGGACATCATACAACAGTGCTCATAGCGATACAAGGGTATTCATTCAACGGGCATCCTCCTCATGAAGCTCTAGATTCCCGCGTCAACAAGCCAGTAAGAGCAGAATGGTCAAGCAACCCAAGATTTACAACTGACCTTTTGCCGGACCATCGCTGCGAAGGCTGCGCTTCAGACAGCATGGCCGGGGGTGTCAGGAACTCAGAGCCTTCGCGGGGCCATGGCTGGGCTTGAAAAGTCAAGAGAGGATCTCGGTGTGGCTTATGTTCTATACCTGTGAAAAATTGTAAGTTAGATCTTAATACAAGTTACCAGGGTTCCAGAAGAGTCTTGTTGAGCAGGCTGCAGCGGGTTTAAGGTTGTTTGTTGGACTTGCTTGGAGGATGCTCGGAGTTTGACGGTTGGGCCACGAATGGCCAGCCTTTGATTGTGCAATATGAAGATCCTTGCATGAATGCCTAGGATTCAGAATGTCATCATGAGAGCTCAGAAGCCAAAGGGTTGTTTGTATCGTTGACTGGCAGTGGTCGTGCGATTGAACTCAATAATTCCTCTGGGAGACCGGAAGATCCACCACCGAAATCCTTTCCACCGCTCAGAAAGCTTACGGTGGGATCACCCCGGAGCAGCCTTTCAAGAAGAAGGACGAGGACCTGTCCCCGCTGGCTATGTCGACTTTGTCGCATGTTGAGACGTGCCATGGCCGCAGGAAATAGAGGTGCCAGATGAGGACCAGCCAGGCCCGGCAGATGTGATGCAAAAGAGAAACGAATGGAGGCAGAGAGAGAGAGAGGGGGGGATGAGAAGGAGTGAACGTATGAGCTGAGCATGAGGACTATACTGAGCAGGCCCTGCATGCTGTGACCTACACCTTTCACGAACCTCGCTTCAACGATCATTGATACGGCCACACAGAACTCAGAAAATGAATCGCACGCCTTCGGATCTAGGCTCTAGATCTTGATTCACCAACGGATTTCGAGCCTTTCTGCCAGCTCCTCGTCCGACACGGTCCTCGCCAAACGCACCTCCTCCGCCGCCTCAGAGGCTCGACGGCATGTTATTAGCTTCGGACCCCAGGTGCATGTCAGAACACTGAGGCGATATCCGGAAAGATGGTGGGTGTTCAGTCGGGATTAAGACTTCGGACCACGCGAGCCTTCAGACCATAACTCAGTCTATTGACCCCTTTCTCTCCTTGTCACTCTCCGTCCCGCCAGCCTTCTGCACAAAGGGGACCCAGGGCCCGGAACCCTCGAGTCGCTTCCCGTTTCGACAGCTGGACCAGAGTCCCAGGGCCTTGAAAGCCGCAGAAGCACTGCTCTTTCAATCTCAGGCGCAAGCACCCGCAGAAAGTTTGCGATCCATACGGACGCATCAGAGGCCAGGGCCTAAGCCTAAAAGCCTAAGCCCGAAACCTGGTTCTGCAAAGCTCGGACACGGATCGTCGAAGCATGGTAATTAGGGATCAGCAGGGACTTTATTCCTGAATCCTACGGACCGGTTGCCAAAGCCGCAGCTGAAGGCTGTAGATGGTTCTGAGTCTATGCGTCCATCCATAACCCAAACCATGAAACGTTTTCTCAAAGAGAAGTCACGGGTCTTGATCGGGCATTCGATTGGCCGGTACCTGTGCATCGCGAGGGTAAGGCCCTCTATTTACTTTACAGGCCCTGCAGCCAGATGTAGCAGAACCGTGGCATGCGCTGCACCAGCACAGCCGTAGATCTTGGAGGTTCAAGCTCAGCAGCATCGACGAGGAACTTTTGTGTAAAGGACCATCCGAAGAATGGCATCCCGTGTGGCCTGCCTCCTCCTGGCGGCGACTGCGGCAGCACTTCCCGATGTCCCTTCGCCTGCATTGAGAGGTGCATCCCAAGGCCCTTGTGTGAGCTGGTGCCAATGGGTTCCCAGCACCTCCTGGCAGTACACGCCTGCGTGTCGAGGCTGCTCAGCACATGGGATCCCCACTCCCGTGCCGGCCCCACCCCCACCGCCGCCGCCAGTTGGAGCCCCCGGAAGCTGTGCTGACTGGTGTCTCTATGTGCCAAGCACTTCATGGCAGTATACTCCTGACTGTCACGGCTGCTCCGGACAAGGGCCTGTCACCCTCCCACCAAGCCCTACGAGTCCCACCTGTTTGAGCTGGTGTGGGTGGGTTGCGCCATCGTCCTGGCAGTATACGCCAGAATGTCATGGCTGCTTTGGACACGACCCGACAGCACCCATCCACAGTGGGAATGGAAGCTGTGTGAACTGGTGCCAGTGGGTCCCAACTCCTTCTTGGCCATATACTCCAGAATGTCAAAATTGCTCTGCAAGCATGCAAAACATTTCGGCGCCTCCTGCAGGCAACGGGACTTGCGTGGGCTGGTGCCAGTGGGTGCCGCACGCATCTCGTGAGTACACTCCAGAATGCCGCGGGTGCTCGGATGGCCCTCCGGCACCTGCCAACATCAGCAGTTGTGCCAACCACTGCAAATGGGTGCCCCGTGCATCCTGGCAGTACACTCCCGAGTGCCACAGCTGCTCTGGCAACGTTTCTTCGCCATTGCCAGTGGGCCCACCAGAGCCCATCAACGGAAGCAACGCCACATGCGTGGACTGGTGTCAGTGGGTACCCACACCCTCTTGGAACTACACTCACGGTTGCGACGGTTGCAGTGGACAAGAACTAAGTGGACCTTTTGTACCTAGTGGTGGCAACGACGGGAGCTGTGTGGGCTGGTGCCAGTGGGTCCCAGAAGCTTCATGGCAATACAGTCCTGAGTGCAGCAACTGCTCTGGAAGAGCTCATGCAACACCCAGCAACGTCAGTTCACCCCAGAACAACACGAATGGAACTTGCGTGAATTGGTGCAGATGGGTCCCATATGCATCCTGGCCCTACACTCCGAGCTGCCATGGATGCTTCGGGTCGGTGCACGGGCCAGCGCCTCCCACGCCTGCGCCTGGAGCTGGCTGCGCCAGCTGGTGTCAGTACGTGCCGGGGCCATCGCAGTCCTACACGCCTGAATGCGGGGGGTGCTCTCCGCCATCTTCGCCAGCAGCACCTGCAGGGTGCGCCAGCTGGTGCGGATGGGTTCCCGAAACATCGCATCAGTACACGCCGGAATGCCGCGGATGCGTCCAGGGAGCATCTGGGAGTGAAGCGCCACAAGGCTCAGGCTCCGTGTCCGGTACAACTGCATGTGCCAGCTGGTGTGAGCATGTCCCGTCCTCCGCATGGCAGTACTCGTCGGGCTGCAAAGGCTGCTCTTCCAAGACCCTGCCCCCTGTGTAAAGCTTTCCGGGTGCATGTCAGCTTTTGAAAGTATAGATTTGCTATTTAGCAAATGTTTCCATTTCCATGGGCAACATGATGCCGGCCTCTAGCCGGAGCATTCTCTTGCGTTCCCTTACGTACTTATTTTACTTGATGTCTGATATTTCAGGCCATGAGACAGATGGTTTGCTTGCACAGCGGCCAACCCCGCCTTCGTGGTGCTTTCAAGTCAACTTTTGATTAATTCATTTGCCACATGCGCAACTCCAGCTGTAGCACAATGCCGGCTGAACTTGATCCGGGAGGTGAAAGATAGCGACCGGCTCAGGGGGCTTTTGCAGCAGGTCAAGCTTTGACTTCACTGGTCGTCTGCACAAAGATGCTGGCACTGTCTTAACTTAACCGTTCGGTGATTTGCAAGGTGCCTTGCAGGGCAAGTTTTGCCAGGGGGCTGACTCCTGCGTGACTTGGTCGCAGCACCAGAGACAAGGGGTCTGCCATGATTGTTGGCATGGGCTGCTAGCAAATTCTTGACCAATGCAGTGCTATTGTCCTCACTGCCAGAGAAGTCCGCGGTCGGGCTTTCACATAATCGTTGTCGTCATGATTCCTGCCTGGGCACTGCCCGACAAATCCGGCTACCGGCAAGGTGACCGCATTGCCACTGGACCGCCGGGGGCTTGCCAAATAGTGTGGTAGCATCATGGTAGAACGGTCCTGACATGCCATATCAAGCGGCTCGTCATGCTACATGCAGTCGCACACGGTGTTGCCCATGTCACCCTTCTGCGCGAGGCCAGCATGCATTATGTTTTGCCTGTGCTGATACACTGAGCCACCCGGAAAGGTTTGGGACTTGGCATTCTGTGTACGGGCTGTGCGACAGTGTGGGGAGCGTTGTACTCGGCCGCAGGACTTCGGACAGCAGACGAACGCGCCCTTCTGCCCTGGGGCCAGCCTTTTTGGGGAGGGGAGGGCGGGTGATGAAAGCCTGTGGTGGGATGAATGTTCAAGGTTGGCCGGGGTTCTTTTTGAGACGTCAAGCTTGTATCTCACCGGACTTTGCGGTGTTGGAGGAAGTTTAATGCCTCACACGACACCGTCAGACTGAGCCGAGTCACTCTATCCGACCATCCTTTGACATGCTTTGTAGATCTGGCTAATCGTCTCCTACTGCATCAAGCTCATGCTACCCTCAACGACATCCGCGCCCATGAACGCTCAGTCTCAACATGCAACAACACTGAAACCCTCAGTCACAAAGCCTAGCCAGGGAAACTGTTCAGCTCTAGCCGGCCACCCGTGGTGCGTGCCGACGAAGCGCCTCGGACGGCTTTTGTGCTTTTCTTGCGGAAGCTAGCACCAAAAACATTCAGTGTCCCTCGTGTGGGGTGTATGTTGCTTGTGGGGCGTAGCCGGCCACAGAGCTGTTCTGAAACCCTGCCGATACCTCACTACTCGCTTCGCAACGAGTTAGCACTTGCATGTACGTTCATTGATTCGGAGTGGACGTAGTTGGACGCGAAGTAATTTCCCAAAGCACGGCACGTTGCAAGCGAATCGGATACCCGAGGATCTCCCACCTGCGAAGCAATGAAACTCGCTTTCGGGTTCCCCAGGCCCTCTAGGACTCGAGCCCCGATGTCCAGCCTGCTTGCACTAGTCTTGCTGCGTTCTTTAACAAAACTTGATCTAGGTAGTGTTGTGCTCATGTCCCACGAGTGTTGGGGTGGCTTGAAGTGGAAAGGGTTCCTCCGGACCAGACAGCGTCATGACATGTCCGAGGTATCTGGAGCTCTACAATGCTCCTATTGAAGCTTGGCTGCACAAAGTATCAAAGTGCGGGCTTTCTTGCTCTCAGATAGACCGAAAGTCACGTGGTTGGAACACCAAGTCTGTGTCCTTGAAACTCGAAACAGGAGATCAACTGCAAGTCCTCCGGGCCGGGAACGCGGAAGGATGTGCCCTGGTCCACAGTAAGGGGGCTGTTAGTTTCTGGAGACAGCAAGGAAGCACAGAAAGTTTGGATAGTGGATCTTGCCAGCTGTGTTCTGAAAGTAGGTGTCCTTCCTGAATCAGGTTTGCGAGAAGTCGCGCTGTTTTTTGAGCCCTCGCCCAAAAAGCACATGCACGCGAAGTCGGAAAGGCTTGAGAACTGAGCACTCTTTGCTCCAAAAGACCAGGGCCATCCCAGCGGCTGCTTCTGGTTTGTGAAAGCTTTGCCCGGCGAGGACGCCTGTTTGCAGCAGTGCTCCCGTAGAATGCCCCGGGTCAGTCAGAGGCAGTGTAGCAGCAACTAGAGCAATAAAACTAGAACTGCTGGAAATTCTCGCAGACCGCACTATGACGAGGATGAATGAATTTGCGGCTGGTGCTCGTGAATGCTGGTAGCTGGCTGGAGGTCGATGACCTCAAAGTGTTCGCACAATGAGATACAATTCATGACAAGAGTAATGCCGGTCTTTCGTTGCGGCAAGGACTTGCAGCGTCTCCCCGGCATCGTCATTGTTCCTGGGCTGCGATGTGGCGTGGTTTCTTGAATTCATGCTTCGAGGCAGCCTTTCCAGCCCGAGTTTGAGCAGATAAGAGAAACAAAGCCAGTCAAGGCTGGAAAGGCAGAGGAGGCAGGCTATCTAGTGGCAACTGGCAGTTAGTAGTCACATCTAGTAACCGAAACCAGGAGTGACGAACCAACAGCAACCGATAATCATGCAGAGGGGATGGCATGACATGCAGTGAGGCCGTTGTAGAGTGCCTATCTTGCAGAACATCGCTTCCCTGGATCCCTCGTGCGATCAAGCGCTTTGAAATCCCTAAGCCCAACCGAGCGAGGACAGAAACAACCCCGAGAAGGGCTCGCGATGGCTGAAGCGGTGCCTCTCCCTATCTCAGGAGGGCTTTAACGGGATACCATGTAGGGGCCTCAAAGCTTCGGGCTTCAAGACTCAGGGTCTGAGTCCAAGCAGGCCGAGATACACCAGATCCGTAGATCATGGACCAGAGACGAAAGTCTTCCTTTCCGGTGTGCCAGCGTAGCAGAGACCGTCGAATTCCCCTGAGACCAACATCTCAACTCGTGGCCCTACACAACATCCTGATACCTGAGAAACCCTGGTCGTGCGACATCCAGCTTTTTAACACACTTAAGAGCAATGACGACCACAGATCGTAAGCAGATTGCAGGTCCTTGTTCGGCATCGTGTACATCTGATCAATGAAGCGCGCCCACCACAGACCGCGCCACAAAATCCTACCAATGAGCCTAAACCTCGTACTCCCCAACCCAACAGAAAGGTATGGCCGAGGGCTCACTTCCGACGAGGCCGAACGTTGGGTGCAAAGAGGGTGGCTGGCCCCTTTGTTGCACTTGTCTAAGGGCTTAGAAGGTCTCCAACTTCAACCTTCGGGACTGTAAGGCCTAGGGCCTAGGGCCAGATTAAACACTTTTATACTATGTCCTTTATGTGGGTGTGCGCGCTGCTAGGGCACAGCCAGAGTCCAGTGCAGGATCACCAGCACCAGAAAATGTCATGGGAAGTCAATAGCCAGGAAGGCTCCTAGCGGGTCAGACTTGGAGTGGAAGACTGAGGCCCCAAATTTGCATCACGGCTTTGAGGGCCGTCCGGCCTTCCCGAATTTCAGACTTCGCCAAGGACGTTTGAAGTCCTTCCCGGCAGCTTGCAAGTAGAACGAAGAAGGCAAGAAGCTCTTCTCCTTCCCTGCAGAGTGGGTTTGAGCGCCCCCGACCATTGCTACATGTACAATGTTTACTCCAGCCCCGACAGATGTCCCTTTCGGATGCCGAGGTGGATCCGAAAAGCTATCCGCCAGATCCGAACGATGCAGATGATCCCACCTCGCAGCCTGTCACACCTCAGAAGATTTCAGGGGTGCTGCTCATTGCTAGCAGCTAGCATTCCGCGAAGCACTTCCCTTATGCCGCCATGAGTCATGGCCGATGATTATACTGTTGGGTCATGTTGGATCATCAGGGCCGTTGCCTGTTGCATCCTCTTGCTGTCGTTTGTTCACTTGTGTCACTCAATGGTCATTGTTTTTATGCTGCAGTGCAGCATTTGCCGCTGCTGCTGCTGCTGCTGCTGCTCGATGACGATGACTACTAGTGAGCACGGAGGCTCGATCCAGTAGGCCGTGATACTTGGGCATGAAGCTTCCCTGTCAGCCAAGGATGACGGTAGAGGAGCCGTGGTCGCTGAAGCCAATGAGATTTGGTTTGGGGGCCTTCCAAGTCCGACAAAAAAGCAGACACACTCAGACAGACCTGAATCCCCTGAAGCTCCGGGGCTGTGACCGTGGTGTTACCACCGATCTTGTGGACCGCAGCTGCAATGAAACTCTGCACGGACATGCCACAGCCTGTTTAGAAATCCTGCCTCCGGGATCCGGCACTCATGACAGGATTGCGACTGGTATTACGACTCGCGCCGGGGTCCTTATGAGTACGACCGAAAGCAGCCTCAAAATCCCAAAGCCCTATCTCGACATGGCAGAACATCCATTTTTTCTTCCAGACATAGGCGCGATTAGTTTCCATGAAGAACATACTCCTTACGGATGGTGCTTCATTGAACATGGGGACAGCCAGGAGCAGCAGACCCTAAACGGAGTCAGGAGCACAACGCCGATGTCGCGCGGCGACGTGCCGAAGAGAAGTCGCATCCGCCTGGAGCCGCTAGGCCTGTCGCTCGGATCGAACAGGTTCACGAAGCTGCGAAGGTGTGGCCACGTTTGTTATGCGTATTTAGAAAATTCGCATACACGTACGAATATACAAAAAGACACCCGTGGACGTTCATGGCTACTTGGGGCAAGGAGTGGGCCCTGGGGCTTTAGCTTGGAGGTTGGTCGGGGGGAGTGTAGAGACCACGAAGTTGTAGCAATCCCCGCTGTTCTTTGTAGGCCAGGAGCTGCTGAGCAAAGAAAGACCTCAGCCGTTTCGAGATCCCGCGTTTGGGCCGCTTGGGCTTTGGAACCGCCAAACCAGACCAGTAGGCGAA